TCTTCTCCAAAGGAAAAAGAGAGCCTTTCCTCTCTTCTGTGGGTCTACATGGCCACCCAAGGCCTTTCATTATTATTCTTCGTGAAGCCATCTTTCTTTTCTCATGCTCTATGCTGTGGTAGTGGTGAGGAGAGATATATTGGGGCTTCCTGTTTTAGCAAGGGCAATATCCTCTCTAGTCTTAGATTCCTGAGCTTACGTAGGGTTCCAACATTCATTCATTATATATTCATTCATTTCAAGATGCAAGAGGAAGGTACCCTATATTGATTACCTTCTAATCATCCTTGTAGGCAGCACATAGAAACAGCAACCTGCTTCTACATGAACTCTGACCAGTGATTAAAATCCTTGTTCAGTAGTTCTGAAGTAGCAAGGTGTTCCTGCAGCTTCCAGAATGGGGATGTTCTCAGCATAAATAAGCAGTCAGGAAAATAGGTTTTGGAAAAGCTTATGTACTACTACTTTACATATGAATTTTTTTTAACTTAAAAAAGGTCTCATTATACATATTCTGTTCTATACTTTCTTCGATTAATATATCAAAAAAAAAATTTTTTTCCTACAGCCAGAACATTTGGTTCTACCCCCACCTTTTTTTTTTTTTTTTTTCCAAGACAGGATTTCTCTGTATACCAGCCCTCGAACTTACAGAGATCAATCTGCCTCTGCCTCCCAAGTGCTGGTGTTAAAGTGTGTGCCACGATTTTTAATGGTGTGTGTGTGTGTCACAAAGATATATGTGTTTACTGAAATGTAACCATTCCCACACCAATGGATAGTTTTTGTGCATTAAAAAAGTAGATTTATAGAAATCCTCTCTCCAAAAACATAGATTTTTTTTTTTATTACTTTCAATTATTTGTCAACGAAGTGTTCACAGATGCCAGAGGCAATGAAGTTCTCTGAAAATCTGGAGTTCAGGTGGTTGTGAGCTGCCCAGAGTTGATGCTGGGAACCAAACTTGGGTCTTCTACAGAGTGTTATGTACTCTTAACTGCTGAGCCATCTGTTCATCCCCCTTTTAGATATTACAAGATTTTTTTATGAATATCTTGTGCGTGCATCTTGTGTATTTTGTTTTGTTTTTTAATGACATCAGTTGGCCTAGGCTGGCCTTTACTTCATTACATAGCTGAGGATGACCTTGACCTTGTGATGCTCTTTTTTATTTTGTTTTTCTTTTTGAGACAGGGCTTTTTTGTGTACCCTGGCTAACCTGGAACTCACTCTGTAGACCAGGCTGGCCTTGAACTAACAGATTCACCTGCCTCTGCCTTCCGAGTGCTGGGATTAAAGGCATGTGCCACCACCACCTGGCCCTCGTGAGTCTCCTGCCCCCACCTCCCAAGTATTGAGATTACAGATGTGAGTCACCATGCCTAAGTTTCATGTGTGCAGGATCTCACTGGCTGGCCTAGAACTCACTCTGTATACCAGGCTGGCCTCAAGCTCACAGAGCTCCAGAGTTCTGAGATTAAAGATGTATACTAGCACACCTATATACATTTCTAATCCTTAAGAACTTCCTACCCACCTGTTTAGGATGATTTGGGTATCTAAGTTTGTAACTTGGTGATAAAGCACTTGTTTAATATATGCATGAGGCATTCATTTTGATCCTAACCACGGAGAGACACACACATACACACACAGAAACACAGACACATACACAGAGAGAGAGAAAGACACACACACACACACACAGATAGAGAGAAGCTGTTCTTCTCTAAAATAGCATTTGATAGCAGTCCTGGGAATTGCTCTAGAAGAGATCTTTGGGCCTGACTTTTACTTTATGCCTTTGCTGAAAGTGCCTCCTTTTATTGATTGATTCTTTTATTTGAGGCAAGGTTTTGCTATGTAGCCTAGGCTGGCCTCAGATTATCAGTGATCCTCCAGCCTCAGCCACCCTAGTGCTGGGATCACAAGACTGCCCATCTTGATGGAACAAGGAAATGTAGCAGGTGGCTTTCTTTTGGTCCTGCCATTCCACTATAGGACCTTTGCCCAGGTGTTAACCTCCATCTGAGCCACCTTCTCTGTCCCCCTACCCCCACTTGAAGACTTACCTTTTGACTCTTGCTTCTCTGCTCCAACATTTCTTCTTTCAGTAAGCTGCCTATAATCCCTCAAAGGAGGTCCGGTTTTTGGCTATCACATGTTTTTCGTTGTTTTGTTTTTTTTAGATTTTTATTTATTTATTATGTATACAATTTTCTGTCTGTATGTAGATCTGCACTCCAGAAGAGGGCACCATATGAGCCACCATGTAGTTGCTGGGAATTGAACTCATGACCTCTGGAAGCGCAGACAGTGCTCTTAGCCTCTGAGGCTTCTCTCCAGCCCCGGCTATCACATGTTTTTCCTTTAGGACCTGTAGCGTATTAGCAGGTCGGGGGTGGGGGGTGGGATTATCAACTTTTCTAGTGTTGATTCTTTACATGGGCTGTCAGGCTTGTGCAACAAGCACTTTACCCTTTGGTTTCCCCTTAGGCCATCTCAGCGGCCCCCTTCCAGACATTACTCTACGCATACAGAAATCTATTGAGTTTTTAGTGTGTGCCAGGCGCTATGCTAACACAGTATAGAATTAATCACTGTTAGGCACATACTTTGAGAACTCTGGAGACAGAGGCAGGTGGAACTCTGTGAATTTGAGGTCAGCCAGGGCTACATTAGTGAAACCCCCTCTTCCCCATCTGGAGAAATAAAGGGAGAAAGGAAAGAGGAGAACTAAATGATGACTGTTGGAGTTTGGTCTGATGCTAGTTACCGGCCCTCTGTGTAAACCTAAGTCATAGTACCTGATTGACTGATTAAACAGCCTATGCCTGGTCAGGGCAGAATAGGGTGGGTGTGGCTAAGGTTCCTGAGCTTTGGAAACACCCACAAGGAATCAAGGGAAGAATAGACAGACAGGGAGGAGGAAGAAGGACGCCAGGATGGGTTAGCCTGGAAAAGAAACCACGTGGGCAAGGAGAAGGGACTCCAGTAATGGTGTGAAAAGGCCCAGATGAAAAATACAAGCAAGTATTTATAAGATTATGGATGGAAGATAGGATGGTCAAGGAGAATGGCATTGGATGGGGGCAGGGAGATGGATGGTGAAGTGATTCTGTTCTGCCCAGTTCACGAACCCCAAAAGACCAGGAATAAACCTCATGTATTTAGGGACTCCGCTGTAAATGCATGAGGTTCTTTTTATTACAAATTACAAGCTGCAGCTTGGGCCCACATCCCCCCACCACCAAAGCAGTGGGAGCCGAGAGCCCCGTACTCAGGTTAGTTGGGTGATTTAAAGATTCTGGTCCCTCCCAGCATGCCCAAGGCAGGGGCAATTCTTGCCTGGCAAGTATCTGTTGGTCAAAATGCTACATTTTGAATTGATTGGCTATAGAAAGGTCCCCAAACCATTAATGACCTGGTGTCCCTCCCTAGGGAGATGGCCCAGTTTCCTAGCAACTGTATCTCTAGTGGGTGGGGAAAGAATGCAGTAAGGCAGTTCTTCCCCTCAGGGCATTCCTGGACTTCTCCACTCAGCTAGCCTTAGTTCAGGCCTTAAACTTTAATAACAACTGCTGATTTTTAATCTTTTGGTCTCTCAATTCAGACAGTGTAGACAGTATATCTGCCCAGCCCAAGGTAAATAAGGCAATTATAAAATCTAACAGGTTTCTGTGTCTTATTATTTGTGATAGTGGGTTAGATAATACCACTGTGATAGTCATAGAAATAATAATAAACATTTTATAGCCTAACACCCATTTTACCTTAATTTACTACAGCAGATGACCATGAGGTCCTCATAGCTACCTCTTCAGGTGGAACTGTCATCTTCCACAGCTATTGTCAGGGCTGAACTCAAATCTAGGCCCCAGTTTCATGCTGAGAATGATAGTGGTAGTTTACCTCTGCTGCTTTTCATTTGGGCCGTATGCATATATTACTTTTACTAGACATGGATGTGAGTCTGAAAATGAACAAAAGTACCAGACTACCTAAGTGACCCACTGAGTCATGAGAAAAAAATGTTATTAGAGTCTTTGCTTTAAGGTCTCAGGATATAGGCTGAGGGAAATGGGATTGTGAGTTTGATTATAATACTTAACATTGCATTTCTCTCTTGCGTAGCATCTGTTCTGTTTCAGTGAATTTGTTTCTGAGTCTCTGTGTTCTCATAACATACACACACAAGCCCGGAGTTTTACAGAGACTTGGGGTAGAGACCTCTTGATTAGGGTAGTTACCAGGGTCCTGTAGTTGCACACAAAGGTTTCTTCCTAATTCCTATCTGTATTAGCTAGGTTTCTATTGCTGTGATAGACCACCATAACCAAGAGCAGCTTGAGAGGGAAAGAGTTTATTTCAGCTTATGGCATATAGTTCATAATGCAGTGAAGTCAAGGCAGGAACCTAGAGGCAGAAGCTGAAGCAGAGACCATGGAGGAACGCTGCTTACTGACTTTCCCCTGGCTTGTTCAACCTGCTTTGTTGTTTGTTTGTATGTGTTTATATTTATTTACAGAGACAGGGTTTCTCTGTAGTGCTGGCTGTCCTGGAACTGGCTCTGTAGTCCAGATTGTCCTCCAGAATTCAGAGAGTACCAGCTGCCTCTGTCTCTCCTCCTGAATTTGAAGGATTTAAAGGCATGTGCTCCCATGCCTGGCTGTTCAGCCTGCTTTCTTATACAACCCAATTTCACCTGTGTGGGGAAATACCTCCTCCAGTGTGTTGGGCCTTCCCACATCAACTGTTACTAAAGAAAATGCTCCATAGGCTTGCCTCCAGGCCAATCTTATGGAGGCATTTTCTCAACTCTTAGATAACTAGCTCATGTCATGTTGACAAACAACAACTAACCTTCATTCCTTAACATGCTGTCTTTTCCTGTGGACTGTGAGATCACTGTTAGCCAGTCCTTGCTACCCATGCACCATGAGTGAATTTTCCTGTTGTGTATAGCTTCCCAGTGTTTCACATCTTTTTTAACTTCATAGATAGATCATGGCCCTGAGGGCATGTGGCTTGATCATCTTCCGAAGACACCTCGTTCCTAAGGTGGACAACAGTACAATTGAGTTTCTGCTGCTGCAGGCATCAGATGGCATTCATCACTGGACTCCTCCCAAAGGTGCAGTGACAGAGGGGTTGGTTTTGGGGTAGATGCTAAGCTTGGCTCAGGAATCCACCCTGCCAGGCCCCTACAGGGCTTGCTTTCCAGTGACTGTACAGCAGGAGAGGTGGGAAAGGGAAAGGCGGTAGGTAACACTCAACCCTGTCCACATATAAGGTCTGCAGGCCAGCCCAGAGCTAGAAATAGAATTCTGTGACTGACCCAGGGCAGACATAGCACCTGGTGTTTTTACATCACTGGCCTGTGCTCCAGCTCATGAATGCCTAGACAGAAGAAGAGCCATTGAGCTGGGAATGTTGAAGTTGAGTAATGGCAGGGCTACCTGCGTATTTGATCAAGTTCCTTTGCTTCTTTGTTTAGTGTTCTTTTCACTGGGATTTTCTTTTGTGGACCACACATCCAGGGAGTATGACTTCTGGAGTTATTAGAAGCACAGAGAAGCTGGTTTCCTGATCTTAGGTCATCTGGAAGGGTAAGAATGATAGGGTCTTCAGCCCAAGAGGCTATGAAGATCACAGAGGCTTTGAGGTTGTAGCCTCAGCAGCCACCTTTTTCCTGGGTTCCTCTCTTAGAACCCAGGAGAGAGCTAGTCAGGGATTCAGAAGGCAGAACAGCGAAGACCAGTGGTCTGGAGTCTTAGACGTGGCTAAGCAGGTTTGTAAGCAGGTTAGTTTTCATCCACTAGCATTCTGGATGCTATCTTACAGGTACAAAATATTCCCTCAGATGTTCCTAAAAGAGAAGGCAGACTACATAGGAAGCAGTGAACTCAGTGACTGTTCCTTGAGGAGCCTGAACCCATTTGAGCATGCATTTTCATAACTGTGAAGCCCACACCCATGCTGTTGGGTGTGTTTTACTTTTTTCTGAAAGCCTCTTTTTCTGTTAATCCGCAGGCTGCCAGGCAGTGGGGGCGCACACCTTTAATCCCAGCACTTGGGAGGCAGAGGCAGTCGAATCTTTTGAGTTTGAGGCCAGTCTGGTTTACAGAGCAAGTTCCAGTACAGCCAGGGCTATACAGAGAAACCCTTACTTGGGGGGGAGGGGGAAACAACAATACAAAACAGCAAACAAAAAACCCAAAACAGAACAACAAAAAAAAAACCTCATGCTTACACTTATATTAACATATCTTTATTAAATCCAACCCTGCCTCAGACAGGGATGGTGTGGGGTGATGTCGCTATCCTTGACTGAAGCCATCATGATTTGTCCCAGTGAGCAAGAACTGATTGGCTCTGACAATTGCTGGGATGAGGACCCAAGGTAAACAGCAGATAAAGACAGAATAGGATGAGGAGGCACAGACAGATATCTGAGATTGGGAGAAAACAAAGCAGGAATGTTTGCCCATTTGAGTTGCACAGGAGAGAACAAGGTAGCACAGAGGGGTCACAAGTACTGTAAAGAGGAATGTTCACACTGTCTCCTGGTCACCGGAGTCACACTGCTGGGTCTCTCACGGGATGTCAGAGGGCCTCTTTCTCATCGGTTCCTTCCTTGGCCTGGGATGAAATGACCCTGCTAGCATTAGGCAGCAAACTGAATGTTCCTGGGAGTGGTGTACTCGGATTCGCAGATGGCTGGGAGGAGGGTGATCCTAAAGTGGTGTCTCCTGTCATCACCTATTGTAAGGGTCCAAGGATTTGGGAAGTAATCCACTATGAAAACCAAGTTTGAGCCAACAAAAAGTATCTTTATTCAAAAGCTGATATCTCAGGGATCCAAACCATACCCTCAGAAGTAGAGCAGGGCAACTTTTAAGGCAGAAAACCCACAAATTAGGTGGAGGTTGTGGCATACAGTCACATACATGCATACATTGTGTGTTCCAACATGTTTCACACCTTGTATCTTAAGTGGGTATATATGTCAAGTATCTCAAATGGCTTTCTTGATAGTTTGGCCTAGGTCAAGGACAGCCAATCAGAGCTCATTCAGCCACTGCTAGGTTTTGGTCCTTGCCGGGTGCTAACCAACAAAGCACAGGGTGAGACATTGTCATCCAGGTACATGTGGGACATTTGACTCTGAAGCTGTTTCTGAGAATTTAGCTTAGTACAAGATGGAGATCATATACATATACATAAATAACTAAGGAGGCTCCAACACAGTGTCCCTCCTACTTTTCCTCAAAACATTATCAATGTGTCTTTGTGCACACTATAGGAAGTGTGCACAAAAACTTTCCCTAGAAGTGGGACTAGATGGATTCCTTAAGTGCTAAGTTCCTGTTTTCCACCCAGCAGCCTCTAGAACACTAGGCAGACCCCTGGGAGATAGAGTACCTAGTGAATAGCTCCGCCTCCAGGCTAAGAAGGGGACAGCTGTCAATTCCTGCTCCCCGTGAGCTTCTCAACCAGGAGGGGCCCCTTAGCAACATGCCAGAGCCAGGAGTAGACACAGTTTACCAGAACCCTCTCATTGTTTCTGGGACGCTAAGAATTTGTGGGAAAGGCCTAGGGGTAAAAATAGGGGCCGCTACAGCCTGCAGAGCCTCATGTTCTGCTGCAACAGTTTCTTGGCAGCTGTCTACTTGGATTTGGGTCTTGCCAACACATTTTCTTAGTACTGGCTCTTGGCTTGTCCCTATTCTTAAGTTCCCATTAGGACTTTCCCTGTGAATCTGAAATCTGGCCTTGCTCAGTCAGGAAGATGAAAACAATTTGAAAAAGCCTTGATGGCTACTTGGAAACAGCTGCTGGCGCAGCAATGCAGGGTTTGTGCCTGTTAACTGCAGAGCACTGAGTCCCCGCTGGAATTTTCAGCTAGCCCCCACTCTGCAAGAGAGTGTGCCCCTCCTTGGAAGAATTACTTTAAGATCTCCAAGAGAAAAGTAGTCCCTGTGCCTAATAGAGGGAGGCAACTCAAAAGAATAGGGAAGCAGAGATCTGAGGAGAGCTGGCTCAATACCTGAAGGCAGTAACTATTCTGGGATGGGGAAATAGCTTAGGGGAGGAGCGCCTACCGCCCAAGCCCTGAGCCCCATACTTAGCACCACAGAGACTGGAAGCAGCATCTCAGTCTGACCTGCCAGACACATTTGTCTCACTTTCTACGAAGGTGGAGTAAGGAAAGGGGATGTCGCAGGCCCTGAGACACAGACAGTGTCTGCCTTGCATCGCTTCCTACGCATGTTAGGATATTGACCATCTCCAGACTTCCTGTAGCCTAGGACTCCTAGGAAGTCACTAAAGACGGCATCTTTATATCATCTGTCCTGAAAGAGCTCAGCTTCAGTTACTACTGAAGATTTATTTATTTTCTTCTATCCAGGCCATGTGGACCCTGGAGAGAATGACTTAGAAGCAGCCCTGCGAGAGACTCAGGAGGAAACAGGCATAGCAGCGAGCCAACTGACCATCATTGAGGGCTTCAGAAGGGAGCTCAGTTATGTGGCCAGGAAGAAGCCTAAAACAGTCATTTACTGGCTGGCAGAGGTGAAAGACTACGATGTAGAGATCTGCCTCTCCCACGAGCATCAGGCCTACCGCTGGCTAGGGCTGGACGAGGCCTGCCAGCTGGCTCAGTTCAAGGATATGAAGGCAACGCTCCAAGAGGGACACCAGTTTCTCTGCTCTGCACCGGCCTGAGCCAACCAGAACCATTGCTTCTGTTGCATCCTTAAGGGTTTTTCTGATATGAACCCACCCTCTCATCCAGGAAATGATGTGCTGGTCTTTAGCTTGTTACAGCTAAGAGCAGATAGGTTGGTGACGTTAAAACTAACTCGGCACTCTCAGGTGAGTGCAGAGAAGCCCTGGATTCAATCCCTAGCATAGAAGATAATTACTTTTAAAATAAGAGCAAGCAAGAATTTTAGGAAGTTAATAAGCAAAGGAGGGGTAAATATTTAAAATGTTAGCCCCAGGAGTCATCCTTGTACTTTATAAATAAACTTCAAGCTGCTTACATGCCCTTTTATCCTGTGTTTATTTCTTGGACTTACGCCATTGGTTAGAGAAAAGGAAACTGAAGTGAATCAGAACTCTAGATTTAATCAGAGGAAACCCCTAGACCACTCAGCCAGTCTGACTTGTAGAAACCAGAGGAAATGCTATGTTCAAACATTGTACCCCAGAAAGCTAAGGGCTAGGGAATGAGACTGGAAGAAACCCAGAATGTCTAGGGTAACGCTTCTGCTTCTGCAACCCCAAATACCTACTTCCCCACGTACAGACCCATATAACTGGGATTTCCAAGCCAGCAGTTCTGGAGTGCAGATATCTCTCCAGCACCCATATATTTTGTAGGTGCGTAGGAAATATTTAAGATCCAAAACTTGGGGCTGCCTGGGCCAGAACAGGTGGGGAACAGGCAACCCTGGATCTCAGGTTAGTAGCACATGGACCCTTACCTCTTTTTTTTTTTTTTAATTTATTTGTTATGTATACAATATTGTGTCTGTGTGTACACCTGCACACCAGAAGAGGGCACCAGATCCCAGTATAGATGGTTGTGAGCCACCATGTGGTTGCTGGGAATTGAACTCAAGACCTTTGGAAGAGCAGCAAGTGCTCTTAATTTCTGAACCATCTCTCCAGCCTGGACCCTCACATCTTATCCCAGCCTGTCTCCCAGAGTAATGAGCCTTGTCAGCATGGTTGAGGTAGAGAATGAAGCAAGCCCAAGTTCACAGGCTCTGCCCAGGTCATGGCATTACACATGTGCCTTTCACCAGAATTTCCCCATGTTCAGCAGACATTTCACCCTGACCTCTGCTGCCTATCGGCTTTCTCTGAGGTGTGAGAGTTTGGTCTCAGCCTTGCTACTAGGGCTCAAGGAAGGCTGAGGCAGGTGTTAGATCTTAGAGCCCTTCCAGAAGCTGTCAGCAGCCAGATTCATGTGGATTTTATTAGGGGACTGTTGCAGAAGGTTGGAGGGATAGGGGCATTGGCAAAGGTCAGCACAGATTACCAGAGGCAAGAACACCCAAAGAAAGGGGAGCAAAGTCTCCTTGTCTTAAGCAGGTTTCCAGATGTGTTTCCAGTCACTGGCTCAGCAGACAGGGCAGGACGAATGAACAGATCTTGGAGGACAGCCAAGGACCTAAACGGTTCACTCCTCACCCCTTTGAGCAGCACTCTGCAGAGGAGGCCTGCTGCAGGAAGGTTTTGGAGCTTAACCTTCTCTTTCAGGCCAGCAGGGACTATATTCCACTGATTTAATAATTGCCTGCTGGACAGTGGTGCCAAACCACAGACAGGCTGCCTCCTAGCAAGGACTGGCCGGTCAATCCTGGGCTCTTAGAATGGGAAGCTGGACTCTGAAGTTTCTAAAACCTTATTAGGTTTTAGAATCTTCCATCAAAGTTGGAAGGGACTGAAAATGGCCTGATTTTGCTGTTTACATTTATTGCATGGGGGAAATTTAGGACGCCTGCCATGGCCTCAAATGCCTGTAGAAGCTCAGCACTTCAGAGGCTGAGGCCGGAGGCTTGCTGAGACCACCAGACCAGCCTGAGCTACAAGAAGCAGAAACGGCCTAGAGAGATGGCTTGGTGGTTCAGAGCACTGCCTGCATTTCCAGAGGACATGGGTTTGATTTCCAGTGCCCACAAGGTGGCTCACAACCATTTGTAATTCTGGTTCCAAAGGATCCGATATCCTTTTCTGGTCATGGCATGCACATGGTACACATGGTACATTCATGTAGGCAAAACGCCTATACACATAAAATAATTTTTTAATCTTAAAGAAAAGAAACTAAAACAGAAAGAGCAGTCACAGAGTAAGAAGAAAGCAGGGAGGGAGAGGAGGAGAAGGAGGAAGAAGGAACAGAATGGCCTCAGTCCTGGAAGCTGTCTGTACTGGGGAAGCTTTGAGACCAGGGTGCCACGGGGAAGACTCTCTAGAATACAGAGGCAGCTGAGACGGCTCAGTAGGTAAAAGTGCTTCCTGTGCGTACCTGACAACCTGAGTTTGATACCCAGGTCCCATGGGGATGACAAGAACTAAAACTTGTCCTCTTGACTTCTTCACTTTCTATGGCATGCACATGCTCACACTGAACATGTCCTCATCATCAATTAGGATGTCTTACAGTCTTGGAGACATTCTTCTGGTCCTTACAGGGTGTTCCATTAAACCATAGATACAGAGGGCTGGAGAGAAGGCTTGCTGGTTAAAAGAAACTGTTGCTCATGCAAAGGACCTGAGTTCCATCCCCAGCACCTCCAAGGTAGCTCATAACCTGATAAGTCAAGTTCCAGGTGATCTGATGCCCTCTGCTGACTTCCATGGGCACCAGGCACACAGGTGGTATGCACGTGGCACACATATATATACATGCAGGCAAAACACTCAGATACATAAAATAAACATGGGTACAAACCAGCCATGGCAGCATGTTTCTGTGATCCCAGTGGCCACCTGGGGTCTTACAGAGCCAGGCTTTCAGCTGCTCTTCATAGCTCCTTCGTACTCTCACCGTCTGTGTGTTGACCCCAAGGAAACAATTCTCAGAAGAAAGCTGGTCTCTCCTTAAACACTCCTGGTTCTTCAGATGACCAGAAGCACAAGTCCCTGATTCAATGATCGGTCCCCATAGGAGCCCTCAACCTTCCCTCTGAGACTTCACAAGCCAGACCTCCACCATTGGCCCGGCTCTCAGCGTTATCTTCTTTGTTCCCACATCTTAGGGTTACTATGGTTATAATGAAATGCCACAACCAAAAGCAAGCTGTGGGCTTACACTTCCATATTGTGGTCCATCACTGAAGGAAGCCAGAGCAGGAACTCAAGAGTGGGAACCTGGAAGCAGGAGCTGGTGCAGAGGCCACAGAGGGGTGCTGCTTATTGGCCTGCTCCTCATGGCCTGCTCAGGCTGTTTTCTTGCAGAATCCAGGCCCACCCTCATCAATCACTAATTAAGAAAATGCCCTACAGATGAATTTTTTTTTTTTCCTGAGACAGGGTTTCTCTGTCTAGCCCTGGCTGTCCTGAGCTTACTTTGTAGACCAGGCTGGCCTAGAACTCACAGAGATCTGCTTGCCTCTGCCTCCCTGATTGCTTGGGATCAAAAGTGTGTGCCACCATGTCCAGCTCCTATAGCTGGATCTTGTAGAGACCTTTTCTCAGTTGAGGTCCCCTCTTCTCAGATAACTTGAGCTTGTGTCAAGTTGACATGAAGTTAGCCAGCACACCATGATAGCTCTGAACACACTGACTTTTCCAGCCCAGGGTTCCAAATTCTTCCACTGGATCAGAGGATGGATGAAGAGTCCTCCCTAATGTCTCAAGAGAGCTTGATTTGGGGAAAGAGCTTTAAAGAGAACCATCCTCTCTCTCATCATTTTTTGTCATGTCTAGGGCTCCTAAAGTTATGCTTCCTTCAAAAGTTTCCCTAAGATGCTCCTAGAATCTCTGGATTCCATTCCTCTTAAGCTACTTCCTCATCCTCAAACTCATGTTGCCTATTAGAAAGTTCTTTCTTATCTCTGCCTTGTTATAATGCTCCACCATTAGCTCAGGGACACCCCCAGACTTTCTTCCAACATGCTCAATTCACTTAGCCTCTGGCCCAGGCCTTTTCCTCTGTCCTCTCACATATTCTGTATCTGAGACATCCTTGTGAGGCAAAGGCATAGGACTGAGGAGTGTGGCTAGTGGTGTCTGGAGATATATCTGCTGGTACCATTTTGCTATGTGATCTTTGGAAGCCTCACACTCTCCAGCTTCATTTTCCCTGTGCTGTGCAGCAGATGATAACAATGACAAACACTAGGCTGGGAGACTAAAGTCAACGTGGCTGTTTATGAAACCGGATGTCCTGGAGCTCCTTTTTATTCTTTTAGTTGGAGGTCCATCTAGACAATGTTGCTTGACTCTGATCTCTTGAATGCCAGAGAGAATTGGAGGGATAAGTGTGAATATGGCCCAGCACTCCGGGAGATAGAGGCAGACAGATCTATGTGAGTTTAAGGCCAGTCTTGAACTTAGAAAGGAGTTCCAGGACAAGCAAGGCTGTTAACCAGAAAAACCCTGTCTTGAAAAAAAAAAAAAGGGGGGGGTTGTGGGGGGGGGGGGGAAGAGGGAGATTCAAGTCAGTTATTATTCCTGAACATCAGATCAAGCTTCATGCAGAAACAGTGGGTGAAATGTTCTGGCTGTAAGGGTAAAGTAATAACAGGCAAAAGGCTAGCACCAGCTTCCTGGTCTCTCTTTATTCGGTACTCAGGCTGACCTTGAATTTGATGGGATTTCTTCTGCCTGGATATTCAGAGTGCTAGGATTTACAGCATATGCCACTGTTAGGCCCAACATGAGCCTAATTTCGAGAAGGAATGAAGAGAACTCAGGAGACGGATCTCGATGCAAAATCATAAGAGGTTTATTTTGACCATTGCACAATGCGGTCACCCCTGCTGGTCAGCAAGGAGTGGCACCGGGAGACAAAGGCCTTGGGTTTTTAAAAGACAAAGTGCGGGAATTTTGAGGTTGCAGTCTTGGCAATTCAGGATTGGATGAGGAAGCTATAAAGTAAGATAATTGGTTAGTCTTAGGTGCTCAAGCTTGGCCAGTCCTGCCAAGTGTGGATGCAGCTGCAATTGAAGGTGGGGGTGGTTAGCTCATCCTTGAAGATTGGGACTGTGGGCTCTTGGCTGGAGGTCAGGGTCTACTCAGAAGAAGGATTGAGGCCATCTGGGTTGGTTGCTAAGAAACAACTATCTCGAAGACAAGGGTCTGGTCCTTCTTTTTGCTGAGTGAAGGTCATTGCTTGCTCGCTTTTTTATATTTGTCCTCACAGATAGGGTCACATTCCTTTGTTCTCTGGAAAGGTATTAAGAGGCTTTAGCTTAACCTGGACCTAAAACTCAACTATAGGCTTTAGAAGACATACAGGTTACAAAGTTAGTCTGATCCTTTCACCACCACACCTGAATTGGAGGCTTTTAAAAAAAAACATTGAGACA